AACTCCTAAATAATATTCTATTACGATGTATTATTACTCTCTATTTCGATAATGTTACGATGATTTTCAAGCACCATTTTTTTCACTTTTTCTATGTTTTCATCAATTTTGCACGTTGATGGTCGATCAGAACGAGGCAAATCAGTAACCATTTCACGACCTTCTTTGAATGGCTTATACCAATCATATGCTTGTATTTTTGATAGACACGATTCACCAAAGATCTTTTGTAACATTTTTAACGAACTGGCACATGAAATTTCGTTAGCAACACAAAATTTAAGACAAATTCTTGGCTGAACAGATTTATTTATTGTAAAAATCTTAGAAAGTACTTGTGATAGGTTAATAAAAACAGCTGTCCTAAAGAAACTAACTGACAGATCGCGCTCAAACTTTACATGACATTCAAGGACATTGGTGCCAACTTATACAAACTAAATTTTTTCATACACTCAACGCACATCTGTTAAATAACAAATTCCGGGTACTTTTTGAACGTAATAGGTTACGTGCGTCTTTATTTTATTTCTAAAGAATTACTTTCTGCAACATAACTTTATCATACATGGTTGAATTTGACATAAGCTTCAATAAAATTTGAAAATTTTTTTTAAAATATTAAAAAAACAATGAGTGGTGGGGGTGTTTTGAAAAATATTATCATTTTTAAAAAATCTATATACGCCATTGTAAAGTACATTTGCAACCATAAAACTTTTGTTCAAACATTTTTTTCATATTTCTTTTCGTTTCGATTATATTTACTTCGAAATGTAAAAACCGATTTTTTATAGGGGATTGTTTTCACCTCTAAAACTGTTTTTTAGTACCAAAAAAAAAAAAAACCGTTTCGTTATTAGGGTCTACTAGTCTATAATTAAGCAAAGTTTCAGATTTTTTTGAATTTTCGCGTTGTTGAAAGTTCCTTGTCATATATACAGGGTGTCTCGCGTAAGATGTGCCAAAAAAAAAATATATAAGTAGAATAGATAAAAGTGGACAAAAATTGTAGAGGTGATTTTTCAAACAACCACGTAAAATTTCGAGATATTAATTAAAAAAGTTGGACATATTAGAGCGTGGCGACGCGGCCGGCGAAAAAATGGACGATTGCTCGCGGGCCTATCTTATAGGTCAGAGAGGTGGACCGTTTGGCATACGGAAATGGGTAGCTCCGTGTGTACGTCCGTGTACGTGTGCGCTCGTCCATTTTCTTCGCCGGCCGTAAAATACCATATTATCATAAATTTTCTGCAAATTTTTCGTATCTTTTTTGACATCTAAACTGAATTCTGAAAGTATAATAATGATCGTTAAAATTTTTTTGAGAGCATCCACAGTTTCGATATGTGCAACCTGCGGAATTTTTGTATTAAACAAATATTGCACTAACTGACAGCTCAACATTTAACATTAAAAATATTTTTTTCGTTTTCGTCAGATATTGAGCAATGCTCCAATTTATTTTTGCATGTACTTTTGTTGTGCAAAAACGTTTGTAATTCTGTGCAAGCAGTAAAACGTAAACTTTGCAGAAAAAAGTCAGTATTATGTCGGTAAAATTTTCATATCCAGCATCTCCTTAAATGATATTTGAAAAGTATAAGGTGTAGTAAAAAGAAATCTATTATTTTTGCATGAAATTGAAGGCTTTATTTAGCATAGTTAGAATGAACCGATTTAGGTCAAATATGCACCGTTTTGTTCGATAACTTGTTGCCATTTTGAAGGTAATTCCATTATGCCTCTCTCATAGAAACCCTTGTCCCTATTGGCAAAAAACTGGGACAGTCGATTTTCACAAGCTTCTCTTGAGGCGAATTTTTCACCAGCAAAATCATTCGCCATAGACAGGAACAGGTGATAATCACTTGGTGCCAGGTCCGGACTATAAGGTGGATGCATAAGAACCTCCCAACCAAGCTCCCGGAGCTTCTGGCGAGTCACTATCGATGTGTGTGGCCTGGCGTTGTCCTGATGGAACACAATTCCTCT